ATTTTACATTTTTATTCTTGTGAAGCGCCTCGTGATTTTTATCTTGAGAGGTGCTTTAAACGAGATTGTTTTCCTTCTCTCAGTTAGAAGTTAGAAATTATTAGTGTAGCGGTGGCAAATGTGTATTATTTATTTGATATTCTGAGTAAATATACAATATTACCTTGCTTGATCTTTCTTGTAAATATCAGAAGATTATAGGGCTTAGTCAGAAGATTCTAAGGTTCTTTGCTTTATTAAGCAGTTATACACACTTCGCTTTGATTCATGAAAGAGTCAGGTTTATAATGATAAATGACCCGCACCTGTATAGCGCCTCTCAGAGAAAGGACTCCAAAGCGCTTTACCCTACAGTGTATCATTCACACATTCACATACACATTCATACGCTGGTGGTGATGAGCTACGATGTAGCCACAGCTGCCCTGGAGCGCACTGACAGAGGCGAGGCTGCCGAGCACTGGCGCCACCGGTCCCTCCGACCACCACCAGCAGGCGAGGTGGGTTAAGTGTCTTGCCCAAGGACACAACTGTGGAATTCTCTGTCTGGAGCCGGGATCGAACCTGCAACCTTCCGATTACTGGACAACCCGCTCCACCTGTTGAGCTACTGCTGCCCAAATAATAAAAATGATTTTATTACAAGAAAAACACGACGAGTGATCTAAGCATTTACCGTGAATGGATGGGTCCAAAGGTGATGTAGGCTGTAAATGAGGTGTTGGTCAGAACTTCCGAATCTCAGGGAGCGGCGTCTCCGGATGAAAAAGAATTTGGTTTGTAATAAACTGTGAGGTTGATTGTTATCAAAGCACATTCAGACGCAATCTCTGTGTTCTACTCCCACCCTTTGGATGACCCTCGTCCGGATCCGGAGGTCAGAAGAGGTCGGAGGACCTCAGGGCACCCAGGTCCAGTAGGCTGACCGTCAGCACCGACTTTCTCCAGTCTGAAGGGATGTCACCGGGCATCAGCTTGCGTCTCAAAGATGACTCTTAAGAAGTGAACAGTTCAGCTTTGTTGTGCAGGAAGTGCTTTTCATCAGCTTTGCGGGTGCACACAAGGTTTCACGGCGTATGAAAATCTTGGATGTTTATGGAGTCTTGCAGCAGCTGGCCAATCTGAGCTGTTCTCCAGAACTCTCCAGTACTGACGAATCTCTGTCTGGCTTTGGTTTAAAGTTTATTTGTTATGGTTTTCACAGCCAATCAGAGGCTGACTGTCATGTTCTCCAGGAGGTGAGTGCTCCTCTTCCATTAACCATCTCCGAGTTAACCCACAGGTGAGGAGCGGAGGGGGCTGCAGCTGCACAGAATTTCCAATCAGGAAGTCTGGTGTGGAAGGAGGATGGAGACACCCCACTACGCCGGATGATTGCTCCAGTTTAGGTATCCCCACCCACTCGTACTTGTTTGCTCGCTTGACTCGTTTTTTGGATTACTGGATTTAGAACATTGGACTGTCTCGGATTAGGTTTTTGGATTACCCCTTAAAACTACAACTCCACATCGTTCCTCATCCTCGCCGCTAGAACCCCGGACCACCTGAACCACGTCCCATCCTCCTCCGTTGTTCCTGTCTGGACCCTCTCCGCTGCCTCACCCACCTCGGTTCGCCCATCCCTCCTCGGCGCTCACCTTGGCTCCCCCACCGTCCTCATTCACCACAGAACTGTCACGTTGAGGGTGTGGATGACGGCGGACCATGTGTGGTGGAGCAGATCAGGAGGCAGGAATGCAGGTACGGATGAAATAAAAATGGTTTTAATGGCAGAGCGGGAACGACAGAACAAAACAACGCTGACAACAAACAACGATCCGACAACGACTGATACAAGACGGGAGGTATAAATCCACAGGGGAAAATCAGGAACACCTGGGCGGATTACCACGGGGCAGGTGAGAACAATAAAGACTAATCAGGCAGGGGGGGGGACACAGTCAGGGAGGCAGGGGCAGATTGTGACAAGGACGCTGTGTGGACTAGAGCCGTACGGCTCATTTCCCGCTGGACTTCCCAGTGCTACCTTTGTTCCTGTTTCCAAATAAAAGAACTTTTCTTGAACTTACCCAGAGTCGCCGAGTCCATTCTGCATGTCTTGGGTCAAACACCTTCCTGGAGTCATGACACTGACAGGAAGATGTTACCAAGTACCTCTCAGAAGCACGCCTCCTTCCATAGGAAGTCCTGATCTGGGTCAAAGGTTAACCATGTGTACGGGACTTTAACTTAGCCGTACTCGTCATGGTGGATGTGCAGGTGTGTGGACCTTCGTCAAAACATGGGGAACACGTTGCAGTCTAGTGGATAAACAACGTCCACCCAATGAGCACAATTAAAGAAGCATTTCATTTCACAATCCTGTAATTATCACCATTAATAGTGAGCTAATGTTTAATGATTATCTAGATTATAAGTCATAGAAGGAGTTTGTATTGATTTATTAAAATCATTCTCGACATTAGCACTGATCTGAGCTGGATCTTCTGTCTTCTGCAGCCGAGACCTTGAGGAAGGGAAGTTGATGTTATGATTTAGATTGTGGAGTCTGAATCCCAGCTGGTGTGAGGGCAGACGTGTTTAAATGCAGTGTTGTGTCTCCTCTCTGACCAGATGTTGACTAGATGGTGGAAGGTCAGGCCGTACCTCAACTGGCCATTGCTGGACGCTACGTTAGATTCAGGAGACTGTCTGCAGCTGCAGACTCTACTTATCTTGTGTTTGTTGTTATTTAAAAACATGCTGGAGATGTTCCGCATCACTAATCTCCTCTGAGGAGACTCAGAAATGAGTTTTCTTTAAATATAAAGTTTAACAGATGAAACAAAACAAGGTTGCTTTAACACCAAGTGTGTGAGGATGTTGGTGAACTACAAAAAGTCAGCGTCGTTGGTTTGCTGCAGCTGGACTTCCTGTTTGGTACCATGAAGTGGATCTGATAACTCGGACTCCTGAGTGTGGAGGAGGCCGTGCGTTCGGGCCCTTCGGACTCAAACTGAAGCTCGTGTCAGAATGTGAGCAAACTGCTTCGGGGTACAGAGGAAGACTGGGTTTATCGAGGATCTATTCTTTCCCACACTCCCACGCTCCGACCCAGACCAGGCACCTCTGAGTTACTCGCAGCAAAACCAATATTCTCCAGCAAACGTTATCTTTCCAGGAAAATCCAGTGGTCAGAAATCAGGCCGTGTTTGTGCAGCCGATCGCTCCAAGGATGTTGGTGTTGCTGAGAGGCAGAAAGGATGGATCAATAAGCCGCTCAGCTCCGACAGGCGGGGGTAAATGTGCTGCCTTTATTTGGGATGAACACAAAATGTTGTGGCATTTTCTGCATCATCTCATCAATCAATGTTCCACCTTTTATCAGCCTAAGAAATGATTTATGCCAACTGTTTCTGAAGACGGACCAAATAATCAAATCAGGCTGAAGCCGGAATGAAGAGAGAATTAATTCTGCAAGAGTGTCGGTATGGATTTTAGACTTATTGATTTAATATTCCAGGTTTAACTCGAAGCAGCTTCTGGAAGCACCAACGCTGTCATCTGATAGCAAAGTTAATTAAAATAAAAGAATGCAAGACTTTTGAATTATTAGTTTGAAAACCGCACAATAATTTGGATTTTCATGAAGTTAAAGAAATAACGTGAACCAGACAGGAAGTGAGACGCCTCACTTCCTGTCTGGAATATGTTTTTTGAAACATGTGTGTGTTTCAGCAAGGTACGTCTGGAACATTTCAAAATAAAACCTTTGTCGCGTTGTTTTTACGGCTTTTTCCTTATTAACGGTGACAGCAAAACCAAGTCAGTGGCTAATGTTTGCAGGTATGTCTGTAGGTGTGTTGTGTCAGAGCTTGACTCATTCGGTGCTCTTGAAGGAGCACGTTTCTGCAGATGTTCAGAACGCGAGCCGCGGTGAGTGTGAACGATATCCAACCGAAGCAGATTCTAGACCACATCCTTTCTGTTCTCGGTGTGAACGAGGTTATGGAGAACTCAGGAAGTTTAATGTCAAATACCAAAACTAACGAGGAGCCATTTTTACGTTTTGTTTTTGGTCACTCTAGGCTGAACATGAAAATAATCTCCCACCCCTGCTTCCTGCATTAGCCACTCGTGGACAGGGACACACTGGGATTACAGAAGCCTCTCAGATCTACGTCTCACTATAAATGAACATTCATGGACCCATCTTAGCTCGCAACGGGGAAGGCTGCCATTGGTTTAACATTCAGGTGAGAGCAGAACACGTCTTGGCTAGCAGAAGCTAACTGTTAGCATACCAACTCCACAACATGGCAGAATCCTTCAGGTTTGGGTCATTTGTGGAGAATTATCAGCGACGCTAAACGGAGTCGGTGGTAGAGTTGCGTTACTGTTAAACAGAAGAGAAGAGATGTGAGAATGTCGGGTGACAGGACTCCAGATGCTGCTGCGTGGAGCTCAGCTGTGCTCTGACTAACTTCTACTTCCTGAAACAGGAGCACCAGAGCTAGATGTACGTATACTAGAGACCGCTGCTGGTGTGTTGAAAGAACAAGTGAACTTGGTTTTCAACTCTCCGACTGAGACCTGAGCTCGTGCACACATACACAACACATGCACACACACACATGCACACACATACACACACACACACACACACACACACACACACACATACACACACACACACACACACACACACAAATACGCACACACGCACACATGCACACGTACACACAAATGCACACACACACGCACACATGCACACACACACACAAATGCACACACACACACAAATGCACACACACACACACACACACACACACACTGATCGCGGCCGCAGCGTCTCTGAGGAACAGGAGTTTGGGTTCGGTTTTCTCGCGGCTGCAGGTTTAATCCGGAGCGACGCCAGCTGGGAAAAGCTTCCAGATAAAATGTGTTTTCCTGCCAAAGGATGAAAACTTCCTTTAGGTTTGGAAGACTGGATTGTAAAACAGGGGCAGAAGGCAAAGAGCTGTATCAAAATTTACTTTATTTTTATCCACGTTTGTATAAAAAAGCTTTTTAATAAATAATTTAGCATAAATAACAGCATAAAGCAAAGAAATGAAACCGAAGGGTTCAGGTGCCGTAGCTGCTGTACACGGATCTGTCTGTGCCTCCTCTTCCCTCTCCGTCCTTCCCGCGTCCCGGCTGTTAATCATCTCCCTGCCGGAGCTCCTCCGCCTTTACTGTCAGTCTCAGTGCCTCCAGAGCAGGAGTTCAGTGAAGAATCTCAGCTTTCAGCATTCCTCGTGTCCTTCAGTCGTCTGAGGATCTTGTCTCTGCTTTCCTCTTCCTCTCGATGCACTCCATCTTACGGCTCGCGTCTTTTTGTATCCTTGGAAAAGAGCAGAGGACAAAACCTGGGATTAGGCCAGAGGACAGATGAGAAACATCTGGAAGTTTGTGGGAGAAAGTTGCACGTTGACGTGTCAGACTTGTTAAGATGCAGAAAGGTTTCACTGTCGTTTACTCTGTGGTTTGAGGTTTTTTTGAGTTTATCCAGGAGGCGTTTAGACTCCAGCCCACATGTGTGCAGCTGCAGGGGCTTTAGTCTGGTTTTGAACCAGTTAAGGTCTCGTTTGTTTAAAGCAGCAGTCCCTCGCCCACCAGGTAACAGTGTCTACTAGTCTGCTCACCTATCCCAGCACTTCTGAAATCCCTGGGCAACCTTTGTCGAAGGATCCACGCAGATCTGCTCGGTGGAGTTATCGGGTTTGACCGATGTTAGACTGAGAAAACACAACCAGAACGAGTCAAACCCAACAGGACAACCCAACGGAGAACCTTTAAAAAGGCGCTGGTTGGAAAAACACTCACATTACTTCAGTGTTATCACAACTCGGCGACTTTTCAATCACTTCAAAATCGGAGACGTTGATTCTGGGGACTTTTTGGACCTTTGGACATTTACATCGTCCCACGACGTACATACCTGCAAACCAAACGTTCAGACTTGAGTGTGCTGCTTAACCAGTGAGTCATTGATGAGGTAAATGCAAGCATGCATCAGAAATATAGACTTTAAACAGGAAAAGCACATAAATCCTGCAGAAATCGAACTTGAACTCACCCTGATGGAGTTCAATGCAAACTGCAGCAACAACAACCAGCAGCAGAGCAACATTCCTCTGGAAAAAGGCCATTTTCCTGAGCTTTTTTTTTCTCAGAGAAAAGTGTTTAAAAATCCCCGTGGACGGCGCGAGACCTCGGGCTGTCAGCTGAAGTACAAGCAGACGAATGAGTCTCCGCTCCGAGTCTCCTGGTTTTATACGGCTCTGCAGGGTGGGTTTTCCCTCAGCCTGCGCTGCTTCCCGTTAGCCAGACCCTCGGAGTACTCTGGAATTTCCACTTTCACGCCGGAGACGCTCCGGTGAGCTCAGCACTAAACCATGACTTTCTTTAGGGTGAGAGGTCAATTAGAGGCTGAAAACGGGCTGACTTGGAGCCCCAGACAGTAAACACTCGTCTTTGTTCCCCTAATCGCGTCCGAGCCGAACGACTCTGGAAACCAGGAGCCAAATTTGCTAGAATCTGTTCTGCCTTCCTCAACCTGCCGTGTTTGTTACCTTTTACTGGCAGAAACCAGCTGATAGCTCACTGGGGGGGGCCTCCACATCCACTGGTCAGAGGTCACAAACACCAGCAGAAACATGACTGTTGATGTGAAAAAGGACGTTTGTGTTCCGGTCGGGAGAACGTGTTTCTGCAGGTTTCATCATCATCGTGACTGAACAGCTCTCAGCGTGTGAACGTCTCACTTTCCCACAACCTGCACAGCAAACACCTGAGTCAACAGGTGAGCGTCTGTCACTCAAACACTGTGATGGGGGGAGGGGGGGGGGGGGGCTGTTGGATCATCTCGCGCATCCGCGTGGTGATGATCACCTCCTGTTCAGAAGGACGCTTCTGTTTCTTGTTCAGAGTAAATGAAAGTTAGCACCAGGGCAGGATGAGGATTAGGATTAAGGTTAAATTAGGGTTAACCCAGGTTTACATCATTTAGGATTGATGAGCTAACCGTCAGTCATCGCTACCTTAAAACAGCTTCTGAATGTTGAAGCATTTAATGCAAACACTGTTTACCTTTACACCGTTGTCAGGTTCACGCTGCGTCGATAATCCAGCAGAACCTAATCCTGCAGATTTCATTCCTGCAGCTGTGTCAAAGTTTCTTTACATGCTGATGATGATAATGAAAGTATCCATCCATCCGTCCATCCATCCATCCGTCCATCCATCCTTCCATCCGTCCATCCATCCGTCCATATATCCATCCATCCATCCATCCATCCATCCTTCCATCCGTCCATCCATCCGTCCATATATCCATCCATCCATCCATCCGTCCGTCCATCCATCCATCCATCCATCCATCCATCCATCCATCCATCCGTCCATCCATCCGTCCATCCATCCATCCTTCCATCCATCCATCCATCCGTCCATATATCCATCCGTCCGTCCGTCCAT